TTGGTACATTTGTGAAATCAAGGAAAATCATGTCTTTTATGCAATATATAATCCTCAGAATGCCAACTTTATTCTGCAAAATCTCACCCGGAAAATGCAGGAAATCGCATTTGCGGGAGTCTAGATTTCAAAATTTTCAGGGGGGGCATGCCCCCGGACCCCTCTAGAATGGCTCACGCCTTCGGCGTTCGGATCTCGCCCCCCCCCAAAACTTTGACTCTGGCTACGCCACTGTTTAATGCTTGCAGTTTGTCACGCGCTGTACTTGGAGTTGCTGCCTGATCTTACGACCGAAAAATGCATTCGAAGTTTGAAGCGACTTATTGCAAGACGGGGACGACCAGACCGGATTTGCTCAGACAATGGGAAAACTTTCGTCGCAGCTGCAAATTGGTTACGTAAGGCTATGAAAGATGAACAGTTGCATGATTGGTTAGCGAAGCAGAAAATTGCATGGCAATTCAATTTAAGCCGCGCCCCTTGGTGGGGTGGTCAATTTGAGAGGATGGTGGGGCTTGTGAAACAAGCTCTCTATAAGACCACGGGTATAGCAAATTTCCGCTGGGAAACAATTGTCCATTAAATTCTCCTAAACAATTGTCCATTAAATTATGTCGAAGATGACATTCAATTGCCTACTCTAACACCACATGCAATGATAGTAGGACGTCCTAACTTGATACCAGAAAGTGCAGAACTTGATGAAAACGATGGTGATCTGAGAAAAAGGGCAAAGTACTTGCAACGATGTAAGAATGCTTGGTGGACGAGATGGTCAGCTGTGTATTTGAAGGCTCTGAGAGAACGACACAACTTGAAGAACAAAACAACAGAGATGAATGCAAAACCTGGAGATGTGGTTTTAATTAAGGGTGATGAACGAAATCGCGGGCGATGGAAAATTGGCATCGTAGACAAGCTGATAAAAGGCAGAGACGGAATTGTGACAGCAGTACGATTGCGAGCTGGTAAGTCGTTCCTGGAACGTGCCATACAACAGTTATATCCGATGGAGTTATCGTGCGACAGAGCAAGCCAGAAGAAGTTGGATGCAACAGTTAAAGAATTCACACCACGTGCAGCAAAGGACGTGCAGCAAAGATAGCGAAAGAGAACATTCGTTTAATTGCTGAAGGAGAAGCGGAAGAACATTAGCATGGAACATTTAGCAGTTATGGGTTAATACTGAACAGTTTACGTCCGTATTAGGACTATTATGACGTTGAAGTTGACTTTATCGTATAACCGTAAATATATTTGCCTTTGGACTAGCCAAAGTAAATAGGGGGAGAGTGTGGGAAAGTGAGGGATAGAGACGGACAGGCGATTATGCATGTTGTCACGGAAAAATATTCTAACTGCTCTTTTAAGGGGGGGGGGCTTTCAATTTTAAAAAAATTAGGAAAGAAAAAATTCCCCTCCCCCCTTCCATAAATAATGACCGGTCCCTTACAGAGAAATATCGGTCCTCTGTCTTTTTGTGCAAACCTCGCCCTAGGGGCTCGATCCGATATTTCTCTGTAAAGACCTCCTCGCTCGGTTAATAAGAAATTAGTAATTTTATAGAGATAGAGCCATCAGAATTGAGGATTCTAAAAAGCTATATCTATACCTTTAATTTCAAAGTTGTAAATAAGATATGTTGTTTACGTCCAACACGCATAATATTACATAACTCAAAATTATTCGAGCAAAACGGTCTTTTGTTAAAAGGAAAATTGGGTCTTTTGAGTGACATAATCGTTTGTCGTCATCGATCCGTGTCGTTGAATAATGAAAAAAATTGTCGTGAACTTAGTGAAGATAAGATTGCAGTTTGTGAGAAAACTGCAGGTCTACGGAGCGGGAACTTTTCGGATTTGAACTCAGAGTGTTCGAAAGTGTTAGTTCTCGTAAAAATATTTCATTTTCAAGACATGAGAAATGAAAATCGTTTCCTTGGCACTTTTCGAGGTCACAGTAAACTTTTCTGGAACAGTAAATTGGCAAGCCCCTTGATGACAGTCTTTCGGCTTGGATATTTCGTGATTATTTTTTATTTTTTTCAGACTGCCAATATTCAGTTTATCAAGACAATTTGACGGAAGTAAACTGACGTTAACCTGTACTAAAACCAACAGCAATTATCTTGAGAAATACAAAACAAGGCGCGTGCGTTTATGCTGCGTTTAAGGTGTTATACCAAACAAGAAGATTCAAACAAGAAGAGTTGAAATGCCATTGTTCTAAAACGAAATAACAACCGGCAATAGTCACACAACTGTTACAATTAGTTTCAGTCAAGCAAGCAACTATCACAGTCTCTTCATGAAACTCTTGCACTTATAACGTGCAGACATCAGTAAATATGTCAGCATAGTAAATTCGTCCATGTTTTTTAAGATTACTTTGCGTGCACATATATAACAGTAACAAAATTTTGCTAAACGCCTATAGTACATATTTCATGGACAACAAAAATCGACTTTGTCTTTGCTTTGCAAAAATGGATTAAGAATTCTCTCTAGCTTCTTTGATTACAGCCATATTTAACTGAAGGGTTAAAAAGTTTTCTTCGTTTCCTCCTCTGTCTGGGTGGTGTTTAAGAGCAAGCTTTCGGAATGCGGTGTTCACCTCTGCGTTAGAAGCAGTCGTTTCCGCACCCAAGTATCGATAAGCATTTTCCAGAGCTTTTTGTTTTGGTAGCCCAAACAAATTTTGTGTCATCCAATCAGAGACATACCTCATTCCCGCAGCAGAGAGCCACCCACCAGCAAACCCCCCTACCAGACCTCCTAAAGGACCTGCTATTGCTGATCCAATATAAACCCCAGCAGCACCTCCTGCCATACCAGCTATTGTGACCGTTAAATCCAGTACATTCTTAATGCATCGTTCTCCTGATATTTTACTTTTCCACCAAAGCTTGATATTAACACGTACATCATAGCGGATGTGGAAAGCAGGTTGGTCCACCATTGCTGTTGTGCCGCCCATCTCATGATCTGCTACAGCCAAAACATTTTCTACTTGAGTCATACCAGATTTACTTACGATTTCTCTAATGCTATTCATAAGAGAAACTTTCGAATCTGTAGGAATGATACTCCAAGCCCTTGCCAAACCACTAAAAGCTGACTTAGAAATCGCATCAAATTGATTAGGATCGGGTTTCTGACATTTTTCTATTTCAACTGTGTCGTCGCAATGGGACAATATTTGTTCATAAACGATGATCAAATGCTTTCGAAACCTTTCATCTTTTTTTGGTATTCTTGTTTCATCTGAAAGCCTTTTGGCAAACTCTCGAAAAGCTTTATCCATCTTCACTTTGGCTTTCAAAGATCTCCATTGTGGTGCGTAAGGTCTGTCACTGTCGTCTTTGTAAGCTTTGTCTTCTTCATCAAGGAAAAAAAGAATTCTGGCGAAATCTTCTTCATTGTTTTTGAATACTTCAGCAAGTTTATTACGTACTTCATCTTTCCAGCTTTCTTCTAAGATATCCACAATAAGATCTCGAAATTTTCCTACAAAATCATTAAAAAGAGGATATGAGTTCATGTGATGAGTGTGTGTTTTAGTGTATATAACTGGATCGGCTTAAACTGGTTTGGGCGTGACATCTCCGACTTCTGTCCATAAAGAAGTTGGCAATCCAATGAATTAAGTCGGGATGCATGCACACCCATATGTGTAAGATTTCCGTAGTAGAATGTTGAAGTCGATACGATAAAATGCTCTGGAAAAATCTGACATGCAAATTCGAAGGAAGCCGCTAGGAGTATCCATCGCTCCAAACCATTTATGAGGCAGGTATATATTAATGCCATAGTGGTGTTGGATCCTTCAAGTGAAACGGAACCGGAGATTCGATTGTCAATTTGTTCACGGGTTAACTGTAAAAGTTAATTGTGTGGAAATAACTACAAGATCTTACTCACAATGCCACGTTGGTCAACATATGCATGAAGGGCAGGCGAGGATTTTCACAATCATGAAACAAAACCCTCCTGATAGATTCACTAAGGATAGATGGTAAAGAACGACATAAACAGGAGGCGTTTTCATGCAGTAACCAGGATGAATTTACGTTTCACCAGGATCTTGCAGCTGAATGAGGCTTCAGCGACTTTAACGCTTTTATGGTATCTTCGAGTGAGACGACTGACTTCAAGTCAGGAGGAGGGAGGGTATTGCCTACGGTAACAAACTTGTCGTTGAACGGAAGGGAAGTGTTGAATAGGGGTGCCCATTATATCGAAATAGTTAGAACATTTTTGGATGGAGCAATGGCCACCAATGTTTTTAAAGTGGACGACCACTTATGTGAATTTACCGTAAATGCTGAACGCGCAGGCTTACACAAAGTAACTAAATAAGTGCATTGAACTGTATTTAACCACCGTAAACTCATCAGGATTTTACACGCCAGTTATACATTATAGTACAACAATAAAAAATACATATTACAAATTTTATATACATATACATTTATAAGAGTACTTGTTTTCCATGACTGCCGTTCAATTACTAATATAAATATCAAACTGATTTGAAAATTATTGTACGAAATTCCCGCAGTCACACTTGAATTTACGTAAATTGCTAGCCGGTCGTAACCCGGCTGAAGGGTGTTCCACATTACCGCACTTCTATATCTGAAACTCGATCTTTTTCAAATAGATTGTGCGTGGTTGAAGTAAAGCTAATTTTCCCTAGTTGTCTCTCAACGTATAACTTCTAACGTTACGTTACTGCGATCGACAAACATTTCTGTTAGATAATCTGTAGGAGACCATTCAAAGATTTGCAGTATAGCCTACACATTATTGCAATTTTATGCTGAGATGCAAGACTTTGCCAACCAAGTTAATTTTTCAAACAGAAAGTCAGCATTAATATCATAACTGGACCACATCAATATTCTGGCGGTTCGATTTTGGAGTTTTTTAAGTTAAACCACTGAAAATATAAGTTGAATTGTGGACGGAGAGCCCAATGGTCTTGTATGCTTTAATGCACCTATGCCGGAAATAAGCGACTTTTTTACACAAATTCCTATAATGTGAACATTCCGAGACAACTTCTCAATGATATGACATGTACACACAGTATACCAAGTGACTTTGAATGATGGATTTGCTTAACTGGAACGTTATTAATTGCTATAATGAAGGAGTGAAAAGTACTAATTCTTTGACGAGACCCAATCAGCATGAAAACACATACTCGGGAGTTTTATCGACTTCGAATTGCACTGGTCCTTCAGACTCGTGCAATTTTGATAATCTTTAAAAAATTCACTAGCGCTCATGTTTTTTTCCAAATTGCACTCGAAACCAATCAAACCATACTATATTAGACCTATTACCTATACAAACAAACGGTATCAAACGGCTGCCGAGTTTGTGTACTTACCAGCTAGATAAGCAATTATTAGTGTATAGAGCAGCAGCACAAGAATACATAAGCGGTAAGTGAATATCATGTTGGGAGATAAATCAGTGGAACTAGCTTCCAACAATGAGCTGTATACGATAACAG